ATTTATCATTTCCTGTATTATAAGTCCTTGAATTATCAATCTACTATGATTTAGAAACACAAAATTTTATCCATTTAAATTGTTTCAATGTTTCTAGCACCACCAATATAGATCTGTTTTTTGAAATGATCACTCTGCTATTTAAACATCTTTTCAATTTAGATACCATAACTCTTAAATTTCTGATTTTTCTTGTTTTCGGTGTTACTTAGAAAGAAGAAATAATTCACTATTAACTATACTACTACTGTTAACTTATAAACACAAAAATTAGTATATTACCTGTAAAGGCAAAGAACATGAAGCTAATTTTTGTGAGGTTTGGTCAGATATAGATATTTCCTGAAACATAATAAATAGTTATTTTCTACTATTTAACCTATATGTAAAATCCATGTTATGTTTAATTAACTTGGATGGCAACGGAATTGAATTACGTGGTTGTTTTTCTGTTTTCATAGTTATATTATTCACCTGAAACAATTTGTCTATATTAGAATAGAATAGAAAAATAAAATAATGTTTATATTTTTTTAAACAGATTATAATAATATAAATATATTTAATTTTATAAAATGTATACTGATGATAATACTGTAATAAAAGGCAATTTTTTAAAAATAAGACTTACATAATTTAGCAGTTTTATATTATCTGCTGACTTTGTTTGAACTCTTTTATAAAAGGTTATGAAATGAAATCTAACTGCTTTTCAGACAATTCTTCATTGCACATTAATTTTGAAAGTGCAACATTTGCAATCTTATTACTGAAAAGTACTTGTAAAGCAATATTCTTCAAAATGACATTCACACACTAATTTTAGTTTCAGTTTATTTGGTGTAAGATGTTTAGATATTGTAAGTCAGTTCAGTAATTTAAAAATTTGACCTAAAATAAGTTTTCATTATTAAGAAACTTATGAAATCATTTGTTTAAACATTAAGTAGATATTTTACTACAGAATACTTAATATCATTAAATGATTATATATTCATATGAAGACATTACATCATAATGATGTCATAAGTCACTATACAATATTTATGTTTTATGATAAATGTTAGCCACATTTAAAGTTTATCCTGTTAGTGGTTTTCTGTGAAATAAAACTAGAACAGGGATTCAGAGAGTTTAGTTAGAAAACTTTTCTTGACAAATGGTATGATTTTTATTTAATTTCTTGAACATTTTTCTGAATTCTATAGTGATAATTATCAGGGGAAGAGCATAAAAATTAAAGAACAGTTTTCCAATAGTTTAAATAACTTTATTGGTTCATCTTATTATATTAAATATTTTCAAAGGACATACTTCATTTTATTTGGTGGAAAATGAAATCGACTCCATGTGTTGTTTTTGAGTGAGAAACTTAAAAACAACACATTTTCTCACTCTGTTGGTTCTTGTTCATATTCTATCAACTAACTTTAATTCAACAACAAGCAGTATAAGCTAAACTAGTTTGGCCTGAAGTCGGGTTTGGCTGGTAACATATATAAACTTATTGTTAAATTGCTTCTTTGTGTCGCTTCCCCACATAGTAATTCACCTACACCTACAATTAGTGAGAATATTAAGTCTTGTGATTTTCCACACTATTCATCACCTTTTTTTTTTACTATATCTAAAGACCAAGTTTTTGAGCAGTTCTTTAAACCTTGCACAACCATATCAAATGAGCTAAGTTTAATTTTTACGATTTTTTACAGTTTTAGATTTAATAAGTAAGTCTTATTAGATGTAAGACTTACAATCTTCTAATGCAATAGAAGAATAATTTAAAATCATTCAAAATCAGATGTCATAAATTGTGATTACATTGTGCATTTTTTTTTATTTTGTTTAATGTTCAGACATTTATTTCTTTTACTGATAATATTAGTTTTAAAATTAATCTGTAGTAATTGTTTTTGTGAAGAATTATTGTAAAATACAACAGGGAGGAGAACATTGCAAAATGTTAGTAGATTGAACTAAGTTCCAAATATTTTATAACGTATATCAATTGTCATTTTTAAATTTTAAGATACTTTCAGATTTTAGAACTAATTACGTACCTCAGCCTGTTACCGGTATGCAATTAACTTCAAAAAGCAAAAAATTAAAATTTCACGAACGTTTTCGAACTTTCAATGGTTCTTCTTCAGGTGGTGACGAATTTTCGACAAATTCTAACAAATTTGTTGCCACCTGAAGAAGAACTGTTGAAGGTTTGAAAACATTTGTGAAATTTTAGTTTTTTATTTTTTGAAGTTAATTGCACACCGGTAACAGGCTTCGAGGTACGTAATTGATTATATTCCGGTGTTGGATGAAGTGAAGTTATGATTTTAAAACTGCTGTATTAATTATGTAGTATTATGAATTTAAGAGAAAAATCTGTAATACTCTTAATAATCTAACGTTGATAAAAAATATTTTTGAAATGTTTTAACTCTGAATCTCTTGCAATTACCATTTACACACACAATTTGAGTGCAGTTGTTAATGAACTGATAAAAAGAAATGATAATGAAGTACAAAAAATGATAAATATCATTTAAATTAAAATTATCATTTTTCATTTTAATAATTTTAATAACATAACAGAACAATTTGATTTTTTCTAGTTTATTAATATTTTATAAAGTTCAGGACCTTTATTAAGGGACAAATTTAATAAATTTATATTTTTCTACATGGATTATACAGGATTTGTTTAAGAACAAAGCTGGAACAATAATTAAAGTAATACCTCTCACTTCTTACTTCTTTCCAGCACATAGTTTAATAGTTCAAACAAATGTTTTCAGCTGCTTAACTGCATATATTGGGTCCACCTGCAGATCACTCTTGTTGAGAATCAAGGAGCATCTTTATGACACCAAGAAAAAGAAACAAATGACTACTCTGGTCAGTGCCATAACTAGGCAGGTGCAACAGGTGCACCCGCACTGGGCCCTCTTGAAAGGGGGTCCAAAATGCATGTATTTGTTTTATTATTTTCCCAAACCTAATTAATTAAGGAGCCTAAATGCAAGTTCTTGCACAGGGCACAGGAATGGCTAGTTAAAGCACTGACTCTGGTACAATATACATCAGGAGTTGCATAATGCTGTCTTGGGCAAAAGCTAAGCTCTTAAAAATAGTATATGACAAAGCTATGCTTAAAACTACAGAAATAATTGAAATATTTAAAGAAAAGTGCAAAGGTGGATGCAGTGACGGCCCTAGCCAGGTTTTCAGGTGATGCGAGATATCATTGTGGCACCCTCCGTAGAGACTAAGCTGATAACGTACATTTTTCACATTATTAATTAATAATAACTCAGACCTCCGAAAGATTAATATAGTAATACTATGGATGAGAAACGATAACAACGGTAAATGAAGAGTTAACTTGACCCTTGTTAATTCATACGTATCACAAGCTGTTGACGTTTTTTCTCTCCCCTCCATCGATGGAATCTCTTAATTTTAGGTTTTTTTTTTTACTCTCTTCGCCCTGTGGGCACTAAGAGGGCCTCTTATAGCAGGCCCATTATGGGTTTGGCCAGGCCCATAATGGGGCGACCAGGTGGAGAGGGATGGGGCCTGACATATCCGAACGGACCACCCCCTGAAAAATTCCTGGGAATTCCTTGACCCGTCCGGATTTGATTGCGGGTCCCCTAGAGCGGTAGGCTGTCACCTTGACCGCTCGGCCATATGGCCTCTTAATTTTAGGTTATGGAGATATAGCACACATTTCAGGATCATGTTTTATATTCTCACAACCCAGTTCACTGTTGTGTAAAATCTATAGCATAGCAGTAGTATGGATTAGAAACAATAACAGTGAAAAAAAACAATATTCTTTCACAAGGCAATATTTATTTAATTTCTTTCATAAGGCGATATTCATAACAATATTTATTTAAACTGCTATGGCACAGACAACACTCACATCACGCAAAAGACAAATTTACATCGTAAATTAATTTAAAATTGAAACAAATTAAGAAAAAAATAAAATATATTTTGGTGGGTAGGGTTAAGTAGTAATAAGGTGATCGGGTTTTATTTTTTTCGCAGACGATCTATCATTGCATTTTTGGCACCTTCACTATGACGGCGCCCGGTGCGGTCGCACCGTTCGCACCGCCAGGCCGCCCCTGGGTGGATGTATCAACTAGAAAGAAAAACTAAGTTTTCCACAAGCCTGATAGGCTCGTTGACTCTTTTTAAATGATCTGCAGGCATGTTAACATCTTTCAAATTTAGCAGCTACAAACTCTAACAACTTTGAACATTACTTAAATGGTTTAATTTTCCATACCTTTTGGATGAAGTCATTCTTTGAACATTAGTCTGTATGGAGCAGCAGGCAACTAAGTACAAAATTTTAAAAAGCTTCAAACGTCTATGAATGCAACAGATGCTATTTATACTCAATGAGAGACAGTTAAGAGGTTGAAAATGTTTGTTTGAACTACTAAACTATATGCTGGAAAGAAGTAAGAAATGAGAGGTATTACTTTACAGGATTTGTTAATGAATAATAAATAAATAAATGGCTTTTTTTTTCTTTCAAAGTCATTCAGTTTTATAGTTGTGGATTAATAACAGGATAAATTACTTTTATTTAATAAAACATTTTATTTTTAATTTTAATAATTCAGCAATTATAACAAATACATAATGTAATTAGAAAAAATAACTAACTAAAAAGTTGGATAAGCAATAACATATGTGCATAATAAGTCAAATACTGTTTTATTTTGTTAATATGTCATATTATAAGGGACATGAGGGTCAGGCAATCTGTGCAAAGTTGGTCAGGGAAAGTCATGGAATTTAAAGCAAAAATTTGAGTAGGATCTTGTATATAAAGGATTATTTATTTTGTTTAATTAAATGATTTGCTTCAAATTTTGTTCAAATAATTTAAATGCTAAAATGTATTAACTTTTTAAAAAACTTTAAAGCATGTAAATTATTGTGGAAATAAATATTTAATTATGATTAATTTATTACAGATTTTGATATTCACTTTTTTTGGGAATGGACAAATTTTTCCAGTTATATAGAATTTATGCTGCTATTTACAACTGTTGTGGGTACTGTTATGTATGTATTCATTGATGTTCCAATTGTTGTAGAGACAATTGGTTTTACAGCTGTTTTCACAGAGGCAATGTTGGGAGCACCACAATTTTATAAAAATCTTCAAAAGAAATCTACAGTTGGAATGAGGTAAACTTAAAATTTATTTATAAGTTTCAGAATAATGATCTAATTTGAGATTTTTATACTTCAACTCTCTTACACTTTATATATTAATATATTCTTTGAATACTTTTTAAGATAAAAAATATATTTCAAGTTTTTCATTTTTAATTCACAACAAAATATTATCATCATTGATGTAGTAGTATGTTTAAAATATTTCTTCTGGATTTTATATTTTTTATTATTGTATAATAAATTAAATTTTGTTTCTTAATGATATAAATTATCTACTATAATTATGATTTACATGTTGATTAATTTCCTGGAGTTTTGAGATATAAAGATTTGTTCAAATTGATACCATTCATTCCATGGAAATATATATACAGTAGAGTCTCGCTAGTCCGAACACTGCTAATCTGAACATGTTTTGGTCAGTGGAGAGGAAATTTTTTCTAACATGAGGTCCACTTAGGGGTGTTTCTCTTTCTGGAATGAACCACATGAATAAGGTACTACAAATATACTCCACAGGCAGTATTAAAAAATGACACACAAAATATACAGTACTATTACAGAGCTCTAATCACAGATAAAACAATTCATCACAATAGACCTGACATTACTCTTATTGACAAATGCAGTAAGATTGCTTATATTGTAGACATCTCTATTCCAAACACTCAACATGAAAAATGATCACAGTTAAAAAAATCAACAAGTACAGTACATGCCACTCACACAAGAAATAAGACAGATGTGGAGAATGGATAAGGTATTTGTTGTACCTGTTGTATCTGTATCATTTATATTCATTTATTTATTTTAGATAATATTGAATAGAATGTACTAGGTTTAACTTGGATATCCAGGTTTATTTGAATAATGGCTACATAGCTATTATCTGCAGAATTCCACAATTAAAATTACTAAATTTGCTTTAACATATTTACTAAACTAGAAGTTAATCATTTAATGCACAAAAAATTGAAATATTTTTTCTACATTAAATCTAAAATAAAAATTAATGTTTTTATTAAATATCATAAGTGAAATCAAAAATACTAAACAGTATTACATTTCTAAATTAGTTTAATAGAATTTTTGATATACTGTACTGTAATTTAAATCATTCCTTTATGAACTTACAAGAAAGTAAAAGCTATGGGCAATAATTATATTAAATTTTCTAAACAAATCACTAAATGTCAGGTTAATTTCAGGCTATCTTGGTTAACTATTAATTATCAATCCAATTTATAGTTCAAAATTAATCTGGTATTTAGGGATTTATTTTAAGGATGAACCAAACTGTGTTTTGGAATTAAAGTTGTTTACTTGAAACGTTTTCGATTACAAACAAGTACTTTTGACATTTCAAAATGATATCTTCAGGCAAAGTAACCAAGCTTACATAACATTCATTATATACACTTGGTTTGGTTTCTTCTTAATCAAAGTTTGGCATTGTTAGACAGCACATTTTTATATACCAGGGATTTGTTTTGTATAAAGATCAGGCATGTTTATATATAAAATTTTCTTTCATTTCAGTAAGAAAATGGTGCTATTATGGACATTGGGAGATGTATTTAAAACATGCTACTTCATTATAAGAGAAACGCCTATACAATTTTGGATTTGTGGCTTTTTGCAAGTTTTTATTGATATGGCAATACTATTGCAAGTATTAATTTACAAAATACCTAGTCCTGTTATATTGGTTAACATGAAAAAAACTATGGTTAAAAAAACTGACCATAGAAATTGAAATATTTAAATATATTTTATGAAAATAAAATTTAAATATAAAGGTATTTATAATGTACATAATTCTCAAGTAATTTCTTGGTTTTTTTTCCCAGTCATAAATTAAAATTCTTATATTGAAAGTGTTGTTTATATACATAAATTTTATTCTGTTCAAAATTTTTTCTAAGCTTAACAATGCAATTTTATATTTTGTACACTGTTTACATTTTGTAAATATATATTAAAATTAAAACCAGCTTTAAATTAATAATGTTAACTGGAATGTATATGTTAAGTGTAATGGGATCTACTAAACTAATTTAAATATTTAAGTTTTAATTTTGCAAAACTTTTTTAAACTTTCCCAATAACTAAGGAAGCTGCAGGATTTCCCTGAAATCTATTGTAGCTATTGAAGAAACTATAATGTATTTAAGCGATTTAGTATTTAATTTATTCCAAATAATTTTTAAAATATTTTGTATTGTTTGTTTTTAGAAAACGTTGAGCTAATTTTTAAAAATATCTTATGTAATTCAATCAATATCCGTTTAATAAATTTTTATTGTTAATAAGTTATCAATGAATTCACTTTTCTTATTACAAAAGCAGTCGAAGAATATGTAATCGCAGAGAAATACGTAAGAAAACTACTCATCTTACAAGAATGAACTGCGATATCTGCCGATTGTAATGTGACTTCATCAGGGGCGTGCCGTGACATTTGATGATAGGGAAGCTGTGTTTCTATAAGAAGCCGACATCCAGGGGCAATCAGTTAATTCTTTCTTTAAATGTATTTTTAATAGATTATTTATCTGACGTACTTAATAAACAAGTTCATTATAATTACCTCTGTTATTAGATCCAATATATTCCATATGCCCTCTAAATGCCAATTCTTGCTTTGATAAAAACATATAACATCTATTTATTTAGATATAATATATCTATTAACCGTAACTATCTCGTTATAATTTTCAATATTTATTTTATATTATTTACTAATGTTAAATTCTATTCCGCTTCGATTTCCAAATTGCTTCAAATACGAAAGAATCGACGATTTTTCGTGTCTTTTGCCAGCTAAATTGTCAAAGCCATTCTTATTCCACACACTAATTTCATTTGAAAATAGTAGGCAAGCCAACAAAACAATTTTTGCATTTTTATGCATTTACAGAGCCATTTTATCGTGAAAATATCGAACAAATTTTTTTATTGAAGCGTTTATATTTAACTTAGGCATTGGCCTTTCTCTTTTAATAATGTTTTCTTTTTCATTATATGATCTCGAGCCAAAACTTTTTTAAAATAAATTTTCAATATCGCAATTACATTCCGAATCGCTAGCCACGATATAAGGGCTAAAATTAAAAATAAAATTATAAAAACTTACTTGGTGAAATAAAATGTGTGGTGGATATACATACCTGGTACAAAACATTCTTCAATTGTATGAATATACTTTTAAAGAAAATTATAATTAAATATAACTTTGTAATGAAACGTACATGAAAATAACATAAAATATTCTTTACTCTTTAAATCTTAACCACTTAGTCAAATAGCTCCCTACGAGTGGAATCAGAGACGGTCCTGCTAGGTGTGCGGTGTGTACTGTACATGCACGCGGGCTGCCAAATCCCGAGGGTGCCGATACCCTCGGGATTTGGCAATGTCAAATGTTTCTTTTGTCGCATCACTAATATACCTCAAAAGACGCGACAGGGTTCTTGTAAATTTTAAACGTTTCTCACCATAGCTGTAAAAGTCTAAATATGTTAAACTTAATAGATTGTCCGTCTTTTGTTTTCTAACTAATTCGTTTTAGGACCAGGTGTTGTCCACGGAAATTTCCAAAATTTACAACTTTTCGGTCACTCTCGTCGAACTGGAAAAATTTCTGTCTTTATTACATCTAATACAGTATTTCGAAGAAATCAGTCCCCACTGTACTCGGCTAGAGATTGATTCGGTTAAGCTTTTGTTTAAGTAATATTCCGGCTCTTTCATCAGGGTTTTGTTTATGTCCCCAATTCCCTAATCGCTTAATTATTTAACTACTACTTAAGTAGAAATAAGTCGAAACCAGTTACTTTGTACTCGAATATTTGTAGTCTCGGGAAAAAGTGGAAAGACAAATTTTTATGACAAACGGATACATAAATCGTAAATTTAAGGAAAATAAATTCTAGAGCCTTTTCTGTACCTGGTGCATCTCTCTCATTCATTAAATTTAGTTGTAAATGATGCTACCAAAGTAACAGTTAATTTTTTAACATTATACAAGAATTGTACACGTTTTTTTCTACACTCCCTTAAAGATGGGATGTACGAAATCGTAATATCACTGGTTTAACATCGAAATCCGTGAGTAATATAAAATCGGAAAGCGGAATAAATCTATCAAATATTTTAATGCATTTTTTTAACTCCTGTCAACTATACAGAACTATCGTAAAAACATACCAGTAAATTCTTATCGGTTGGGTTAAGTTATAAATCTACTCATTATTCACGTAATCGAAATATCTAGTGGGCAGGCGGCTAACAGCCCAGAACCGGTCCTTGACAGAGTTGTAATCTTATATGTGTGCAGCTTTCACCCAAGGTCGTAGGCTTCCACCGGCTACACCGGGTGAGGTTGGTGTTCTGTAAAGCGCATGCGCAAATCTTGCTTTTCGTAATCTGAAAATACAGGAGATTACACTCCGTCACTAATATTCTAATATACAATAGCAATTTTTTTTTTGTTTTTTTCCACGTGTAGTATAGAAAATTATAATAAGATACATAATGCGGTTATAATAAAATATTGTGCGATTATTTTCATATAATTAAAATTAATATTTATTTATTTTTTAGAGAATACGAGGGAAGCGGCGCTTCCAACGCTTCTAATGACGGCACGCCAGTGGACTTCATATCGAAACCTGGTATCATTCGATCCTACTGATCTTTAGAACTAACACTAAGCAGTCAAACACGAACAGTAACAAAAAAACTTTATTAAAAAGGTCAGAACTGTCATCGACATTCTCGGGAAACACCCGGGCAAATCCAACGAACTTTCGCGCCTCTTTCTTTTCGACGTTGTCAGCCAACTCTCGTTGGCAACTGTTGGGAGACAGGGTTTCGGGATCTCTGGCGCTGGCGGCCACAGCTATTCCCCCACCAGTATCTGCGAAACGAGCGAGAAAGGATACATTCGGCCAGAGCGTGTGATAGTTTGTCGCGTTGGGGCTGGATTGTCTGTAGTATGTTTAGTCGTCGCTGATCTTGGCATTGGAGACGTTGGGGGTAACTTGTCCGACTCGCTCGCTGCGAGAATAAAAGCTGGTTTCAGTCGATCAATAGAAACTACAGTTTCTTTTCCCTTTACGCATATAGAGTGAATGTCTTGCTACCACGTGACACGACTTCGTAGGGTTCATCGTATAGAGGCTGCAAGGGCTTCCGTATAGCATTGTGGAGAAATCCCTCGGCAACGGATGTGTTGATTTTTTTTTAATATTAATTTGCCGAGTACGTTTTCTGTTCAATGAAATACGTGGGAACATGACTGCAGTTCTTTGTGATAAATGGGTTGCGATAGGATTGGTGCACCACAGGCACTGGTTTTAAGTTTGCCATCATCGTCCTGAGTTTTTCGACGAAAAAACATAGATTGATGTCCTGAGAACCCGGGTCGAAAAATTCTGGCAGTCGGAGGCTGGTGCTATGAGCATCTTAGCTGCAATAGTGTTGGTGTCTTCACGAAGCGCAGTTCGCAATCCTAACAAGACTGTAGGTAGTACTTCCGTCCACCTTTCAGTAGAGTGACACTTGATGGCAGTTTTAAGTGAACGATGAAAGCGTTCAACAATGCCATTCGTAATTGGGTGGTATGCTGTTGTCCAAACTCTTTTGGCATCAAGAAGTTGAGTGAGGGATTTGAATAAGCTAGATTCGAATTGCCGTCCTTGGTCAGATGTTATTTGGCAGGCACTCCAAAGCGAGATGTCCAACCTGAATATAGGGCTGAAGCCACTGTTTCATCCGCTATATCTGGCAACGGGATTTCTTCAGCCCAGCGAGAAAATCTATCGATGATTGTGAGGCAATATGTTGAGCCATTGGAAGGTGGCAATGGACCAACATTCATTCATTCATTGTTTTTATTGCACAAACAACGTGTACAGTACATCCTGGTCCTGCAGAAAGCATTACCAGGGAAATGTTTATATGGATAAAGTTCAAAGTACAGTAAATACATAAAATAACAGAATAATCAAATTACAATAAGATACGTTTGAGAGTGATTTCATCATATACAATTCATTCATACGAATCAGTGTCAGGATAGATAAGTTAACATAATAACAATAATTGAAAAATGAAGTACAATAATTAGATTGTGTCAATTCCTTAAATATAATATTACAATTTCATAAATCAAGTAACATAAATACATAGATAACTTTAAATAATAAGCTTGTAATGAATCAGCACACCGATATATACGTATGGAATACAAGTACATAACAATACATAAAGAAAATGTACACGCAATTAACATACTAACAGACAAAGAAGTAATATTATACACTCCAAATGTATTAGAATAAACAGTTTCAGGTATATATGCCAAAAACATACCTTTGCAGTCCTTGTGGGTAAGCAGATTCCGAAAATAAAGAATACAAATAGCCAAATTAGAATTAGAATGCATGAATTGGTGTAATAAGAACAAAATGAGGTTTAGGAAGAAGAGTATGTCCGCACAATAATACTCAAATAGCAGTAATCAGCATGCGTATAAATACGTAATCATTCATCAACAATCAACATTTTAATTTTTCAATCAAATCGTGATTTAAAGAATTGAAAAGAAAACATCGAAACAGATTAATCTTTAGCGTACGGCCGGATGGCCGAGCGGTCAAGGTGTCAGCCTACCGCTCTGGGGGACCCGGGATCGAATTCGGACGGGTCGAAAAACCCCACGAAATTTTTGGAAGTGGTCTGTCTGGATATGTTGGGCCCCGTCCCTCACCACTCGGCCGCCCCATTGTGGACCTAGTCGAACCCATAATGGGCTTGCAAAAAGAGGTCCTCTTAGTGCCCACAGGGCGGAAAGTGGAAAAAAACCACTTTCAGTTTTACTTAACACTTCCATCGCTAACACTCCAATTGTTAACAGATATTTAATTAAATATAAATAGAACAAACAACTATTATATAATTGAGGGGCCGCGATGACCGAACCTGGACGCCACGCTCCGCCCAGCGTCCTGAGCTTAGCAGGACTCTATTGCTAACAGGAAAACTATAAAGTACAGGAGCAAGACACCACTAAAGGAATTGAGAATATTGTGACGAAAAGTTGCAGCCCGGCATTGTGACGATGTCACAATAAATAATCGCTCGTTAGAATTAGTTTGCTTTATTTGGTTAGGGCAGGGCTTCTTAAACTTTTTTTATTCACGACCCCATTTATGATTGTGATTTTTTTTGCGACCCCAAAAAAATATAAAATAAAGATATACAGTATACAAATTTGCA